TTTGTATGGTTTTATACGCATTTCCACATGGATACACATGCTGTTTTTGCCTCGCTTAAAGACTCCATCCAAAGTTAAACACTAATCAGAACAGTTAGCAACAAATGCAAACAGACGGCTACAACTCTTAAGCGTACATTTTTTTTAGTCCGGAGCAAATCATTTAGTAAAAGCCACATACCTGCACTTTATGATTATTATAAACCTTATTCATAGACTTAAAACCAGCAGCTTTGAGTTGTGACAGCTGCCAAGCGTGCAGCTAACAGCAGAGCTAGTTAGCTGCCTTTAGCTGCCACAGTAAACCGTCCTTTAACGTCAACACACCAGCATGTAAATATATGCACGAGGCAACTTACCGTCGCTTGTTTCTGACGGATGGAAACTAATAACACGATGGTTTTCAGTTTTTAGCTAAATATATTCTGGTGTAGTGGCAGAGGCTGTACTTACTGCAGAACTTGCACGATGTCCCTTTTCGGCTTCCGTCCGCAACAGTTGGTTTTTTGTTTTTTTTTTACTTAATGAATGGCTTTATTTATTTATTTATTTATTTATTTATTTATGGGGTCAAGTTATGTCTTTCGTCTTGACCATGAGGACATATACATATAACTTATAAACTTAGCAGTATAAATTAGTTATAGTAAGCATTATAAAGTAAGTTTTATTTAACATATATGGTTACTTTCTTCTTCTTTTTTATTTATCACCCAAAAACTGGCCATTGCGCCATCGACACAGAAACTACAACTTAAATATAGAAAGGACTGAGCGCATGTGCAACAATACAAAGAGGAAAATAGAGAATAACAATGAATGATATTAACATAATTACAAGTGATATTAATTCAGCCCAAATGAAATAAATAAATAATAAAAAATAGAAACAGAGCTTTGTAAATGTCCTTTTATTTTTTTTTACTTTTTAAAGTTTCACATATCCTTCATAAAATTTGAAGAAAGGTGGTTTTAATATTCAGGAATCTGCATCGATGAATAAAATAAACAGTATTATCAAGACTTTGTTGAACTCGGGAAAATTTGGTTATATATTTGGTTTGGTTTGGATTTTGTGGGAAAGAGTGACTGGTGTACGTTTTACTCCCCTTTTTATTGTCCTCTGTTTGGCATTTGTGTACATCTCTTCTATAATTGGTTTCAGTGCTGCAGAGATTGTTGGACGCTGATTGCAAAGACCTCCTGTGTCGCCTTTAGTTCACCGCATGTCTTATTGGTCTACACCTGAAGGCGCTCTGGTGTGACTCTGATGCAAGATTAGAGGCCGTGTCCATTATGCTGACAAGTTTCCTCAGCACTGAGAGGACAGAAGGTGATTTCCTTAAGACGGTCTTACGGAAATCAGCTGTGGTGTCCCAGTACGCTACAGCATAAAAAATATAACGCTGGCCACCAAAGAAAAAGAAAACAACAGACGCATTGAAAGATTCACAAGTGGCTCACTGTTCAGCTACAGTATTCATTTAAAGGAACACAACTTGTGCACATTTTTCAAACAGAGGTCAAAAGGAAGTTAATTAGCTGAAGGTGAAGCAGCTTACTGATCTCTTTATTACAGGTCGCACATCAGTAAGACTGAGACGCACAGAATTCCCTCATCACTCACTTCTCCTGTCCCACTCAGTCCTTTCTTTTTCCGTTAAGGTAGTGCAAATAGCAACAGCAGAGGTGGGACCAAGTCATTGTTTTGCAAGTCTCACGTCAAGTCTCAAGTAATGTCAGGCAAGTCAGAGTCGAGTCTCAAGTCACTGCTGTAAAAGTCCGAGTCAAGTCACAAGTCTGAAACTTTGAATTTCAAGTCCTTTCGAGTCTTTAAAAAAAAAAAACGAAAAAATAATGTTGCAGTTATGCTAAATGTAAATATTAGACCATGTAATTTTAAAATCTGTGTTTTTCTCAACACATGACAAAATAGTGAACTTAGAAAATATACACAAATTGTGAAATTGCACCTCTTTAAAATGCAGCTCAATTAAACCTAGCTCCAAGAATAATTTTCACCGACAGTTCTGAGATAAGCTGCATGTTATTCTTGGATGCGGTTGTAGGACCGGCTTTAAAATCGCATGACAAAATATCATACATATTTAAAAAAACTGTATCACCAACGTAGCCTGGACAACATTTGCTAGTTAGATGAAGTCAGCTATCTCATCGTAGCATATTTATATGCATATTTATAAGCATACGGTTCTTGGAGTGAGTGCATACACTCATGAAGTTTAGTAACTTCAGGTCACTGCAACAAGCCCAGGTACAGTTTACCGACGGATGGGTGCAGGACCTTGAAATGCACCGTGTAGAACGAAAGACCATCGTACGTATCATAAGTTTACCAATCTCACAAATTGTCGTCATAAATACACATTCGTTAACCGTTTATTAATAGGACCTTTGAGCTCAACGGTAATTAATTAGCAATGGAAATAATTTCTGGTACCCATCACAGAAATGTAGCAGTGACAACAATATTGTATGCTGTAATCGTACTGGGCAATTAGTGATACAAAAAAACCTGTTTATCCTGTGAATAAAAGTATATGTTTTGTCAATGTACCATAATAACAGAAGCGAAACACAATATGGTGTCAGGACAATTCACTATTTATGCACAATAAACAAAGCGCGACAATTTCTGTTCAGCGCCAGACTTGCTTGTAACCTATATCACCAATTATGTTATGAAAATGACGTATTAACTACTAAAAACACTGACCTTGTGTAAATGCTTGGAGCAGACTAACCTGTGAGCTGGAGTGTTCTGGGACGTTATATTTGGTCTTTGAATGGCTGCAATCCAGGCCATCCGTCGCGTCTTTGTTACTTCGGAAACATGGCTCGAACAATTTCTCTTCAACGACGTAATCCGATAACAACCGATCTCTTTACCCGTCGGCTTCCCGTGGCTGTCATGCTATTGCAGTTAATAATACAACAGCTTCTTGACATTTTGTGTTTCTTTTTATCGCTGTGTAACTGATTTTAATTGAAAGCCTGCGTGCGCTAGTACCTCTTGCCACGAGTTCCCAGAATCCTTTGCGGTTCTACCCGTGAATGACGTCACATTTTCAATCTATATAATATGCATGTTAAATTTTATATTTGGGGTAAAATATCAAGTCTTTTCAAGTAAACCGGTTCAAGTCCAATTCAAGTCCCAAGTCATTGGTGTAAAAGTCCAAGTCAAGTCACAAGTCTTAGAACATTTTTTCAAGTCAAGTCTAAAGTCATAAAATTAATGACTCGAGTCTGACTCGAGTCCAAGTCATGTGACTCGAGTCCACACCTCTGGGCAACAGTATTTGTAGAAGTATTTGTAGCAGTGAAATAATGAAATAACAACATTTCATTGTTATTTCATTGTTCAAATCCCAAATCTTTGGGATTTGAACATCCCAAAGAATCAGTTAAGAAAAACAATATTTCTCAAGTCGTTACGGTTCGGCTTAGTGTTTTTCAACAACGAGCTTCCCGATGTTTATAGCGCTGGTGTTATGCAATATTGTCTGTACTCAATGTTACAAAACAAATTCACAGATTAATGTGAGCAAGCAACAACTGGATGACTTTGATAAGCTGTATTTACTCTCACAGGGCAGGTGCTCCAGCAGCAGATACCCCGCAGTGCATCCGACTCTTCTCAGAAAGAGTTAAAGCTAACCAAATGAAATCTGCCTGGGGAAGGGGCTATCAGTGCAATAAGTTAAAATGGTAAGGGTTGTTTTTTTTAATGTGTCTGGCTGAGAAGAAGTCATTGGGTATAGAGGCTACATCAGAGTTGAGTCTGAGAGCAACCAAGAGAGAGATTACTGAGGATTAATGCAATAAAGGTTGATGCTGGATGTTAGAGGGATCAGGAAGGATCAGGGCAAAGGCCAGCCAGTGAGCATTACATCATCAGATTCTTCCTCTGGACTCATCAACCCTGGCTTGGCACTACACCCGTAAGGTTAAATGTGCCCCCCACCCTCCTCTTTAAACACCCTCACTTACATTAGTGTGCCATTAATAGCAGTGAAATCTTGTCACTTTTTTTGTTTCAGTGTCTGAGTCCCAATCCACATAGAAGAACAATCATTTCAAAATAAAAGTAATAATAATAATAGTAATAAAAGACCAGATATTTTGTTACTTATCCATTAAGCATACCAGCAGAGCGAACACTCTCTCTGTGGAGCACCATTCACAGATGTGTGTTTAGTAATTAGGTTCACTTAAGTCCTCATGCCCCATCTGTCTGTCTGTTTGATGCTGTGCCCAGTTTGTCGTGCAGCAACATCTGCCTGGCTGGTGTTCCCCGAATGTGACAGTACAGCTTGTCCCGTGGCACATCCCTGAATTCAGCCCCAATATTTAATCCCAGCTGCGCACACTGTGGATCGGTATGACACAATTACTGATCACCAACTGCAAGAATGAATCAGTCCACAGGTAAAAAAAAAAAAAAAAGTGTTCACGTGCCTCAAATTTCACTCAACCTTTCTTTTCCTTTCTTTTTTTAATGGATATGGGGTTATAATACTCTTTAATACTTTTAAGCTCCTCTCTGTGTTTTATGTCCATATTTCCATGAAGTTCCCAACTTACAGAGAGTATTAACCTCAAATAATGGCTCAGACTGTCTCTCTAAAAGGACACGTTCTGGGACATGAACCTCTTTTTTTTGTTTTGGGGGAGGTTTTTTTTGTTGCTCTTAATACCTTTAAATCTGTTATGCATCAGTCACAAAATCCCACATTTCTGCCTCTTTTCAGTGACATAGTTTCTTAGTGTCCTTCCAAAGTTTTTACTCAATCCTAGCAGAGCAGAGTCCCTAAACTTTTTCATGTTTAAATCACTTCTTTCTGGAGTGAAATGACTGCACGTTACTGGAATGCAAGAAGTCACAAGGACAATATGGTCTACACCTAAATGAGTCTTTGGGTTCCTTTCAGGCAGACACGTAAAACTTTCTTGTTCAACAGATACTCCTGAATCCGTTTCGGATGTTCAGATCAGATGTTTTATTTTGTGCTTTGCCAAAGAAAAGGCAGATCCATGTTACTGCTTCACTTGTTGGAAGTTAGTTACAGATTACCTAATACAACCAGCTCAGGTTAATAATGTACAGTACAGTAGTGACTTAACTTTACATCCTGCTTTGTTGTAACATTGTTTAAATGGTAAGAATAATTTAATAATAATACAAATATAAAAACAATTCCATTTCAACAAACTTCCACTGTATACAGTCTATATCAGGGTTGTCAAACATGAGGCCCAGGGGCCAGAGTGGGCCTGGCAAAGACTACAATCTGGTCCACGAGATGCCTTTGGAAGATATGCATACATTTTTGGACTTTTAATGTTTTGTAACAAGTTTTGGAGTTTTTTCCTGCTGATGAAGACTTTCCTCGTGCCCATTCATTCTATACCAAAGTAATTAAGTAATAGGTAAACGATTAAACACAGAAAGGTTACAGAAGAAATAGAAGTTTCAGTTTTTTACAATAAGTCCACAAAAAAGGTGTGAAGTAACAGGAACTTTCTGATTTTTTCTGTAATCTTACACAGTTATTCCTCACAATCTAAGCCCAAAGAGATGCTGAAGGGTTTTTTTCATTTACTACAGCATTATTTCTTTATCATGTGGAAACACTGAGACATACTTGGACTTCTTTTTCTTATTTTAAGATATTTCAGTGATTAAATATATACTTAGACTTCTTTCCACTGCCCACTAGGATCAAAGTGAACTAAATGAGTTTGACATCCCTGGTATATATGATGAAACATAACAACAGAGTTTTGTTTTTTTAGCACTCTTGTGCTTGAAAAATCATTACAAATTGTAATTCTTTGCATAGCTATAAAATCTGCTCTGAGATCAGTCTGATATTGCTTGTTTTGAGCATCTAATTTTAACATCTGCAAGCCCAGAAAAGAACAACTTCAGTGTTAGTGCGTGTTTGCAGAGGTGCAAATGAATGTTCCTGACTGGCCTTGTCCTCGACTGTCATTGATGGGACATCATTCTGACAAATTCTGCAAAGGAGAAGAAGACGAGGATCAGTTGCTTCACTTCACTGCACTGTTACTCTTTACTGATGTAGGCGAAAGACAGTCTGTACCTTCAAAATCTACGGTGCCATCCCCGTTGTCATCGGCCTCTTTCACTATGGCATCGATTTCTCTCCGGCTCATGTGCTCTCCCATCAGCTTTATCATGGCTGATCGCAGCTCCTCCGTTGTGATCTCTCCATCTCCGTCCATGTCAAACTAACAAGAGGCAGCAAACAGCAGAGAGCAGCTTTTAATCACAGCCGTGATGATAATGATCGCCATCTGGCAGTCTAGAACGCAGGTGGCTGGAAAGTTTCAGAAAAAGCTCTTTACTCTCACCTCTTTGAAGGCGTCTTTCAGCTCCTTCATACCGATCATTCCAGACGTCTCTGCCAGCAGTTTCGGGGCCATCAACTCCACAAAGTCGTCAAAGTCGACTCTGCCACCGACTAGAGGGGAAAAAAGGTTCGACATGTCTGTGGGCTTTTCTGTCTCTCATCAAATCTAGATTAAAGCAATGAAAACAGCCGCTAACTATGGGATTCCTCAACGAATTCAACTTTTAAACAAACACTTTTTTAAGGACTCACGGTTCATGTTGATATTTTGACTCAGCTCGATCAGCTCCATCTCAGTGGGCATATAACCCATTGTCCTCATCAGGTTGCCCAGGTCCTTACAGCTGATCAGCCCGTCCTTGTCTTTATCAAACTCATTGAATGCATCACGCAGCTCTGCAGAGGTTTAAAGTAAAAAAAAATCAAATCATAAAATGAAATGTGCAAAGTGTACAAATGTAGGTAAAAAACAATGACATAGTCATAAAAATGAGAAAACAAAAAATATTACCATCAATCTCATCATCAGCCAGCTGTCTTGTCTGCACAAAGAAATAATAATTGCTTAACTTCAGTATAATATGAACATTAAGAAGAAACACGGTGCTTTCTAACTACTTATGAATGCAGCAGTTATCACAATCACACAATCACAATAGCAGTTTACATTTCCAGCGCAAAATCCATCAAAACAATAATTAAATTCCTGCAGCTTATACTTACAATGTTTTTCCCTCCCCGCAAGAAAATACACGCTGCCCCCAAGCTCATTTCTGCAAGAGGAAATACAGATGTACTTTTATGAAATGTCAGGAAATCACTGACACACGATGTAGAGCTTGGTGGGTTTTGCTATGAAGACACTACTGCTGAAAAAAGGTCTGTTCACACAATAATTAGTCCAATAAACTCTTGCAATAGTATAAACATGTTATTTATATATACTGTTAAAATTTCTTAAAAACTTTACAGGTTACTGACATCTTCTAAATAAAAAAGTTTTAAAGAGATGTTACCTTCCTCAGATGAATTCTGTTTGTCAGCCAAACGCATCATAAATAAGCTCTCTGGAGCTGAGGACCTGCAGCTGACCTGTGCAGTGCAAAAACTACCCTGCCTTCCTCCTCTTGCTTAGTCTTCTCAGTGTGAGCGCTGTCTCTGATTAACCGCAACAGCTTGTGCCTCTCAGTGTGTCGCGACCCTTTGTGCCCAGACTGCCGGGATGCTTGGAAATTGTATGAGGGTGTGTGTGGCTGCATCCAGACGTGGGGGGAGGAGTCAGCGGTGTGACCGGAGGAAAGCGGGATCAGGGATGAAAGAGATGATGCCCTGGTTTCCTGCTGAGTGGTGACATCACAAACTTTATTGGTATCTGAGCCCAGAGCCGACCGAAAATATGCGATATGATGAAGTCAGCTAAGAGGTGCTTTTCTATGCATTGAAGTAATTACAGTGTCCTTCTACTCACTCATGTTTTATGCAGGAGATGCAACACGAGCCTATCATTGTGAATAACTGTTTCAAGTGCAGCATAAAAGAACCAGGGCTATCACTCACACCTGCACTTTATAGCCGTTTATTTGTCAGATACTCATAATTAATGATTTATTATTAGTTTAAATACCTTTCATGGACCTGAAGAAACATCTACAATTTGCTTTTCTAAGTTGAAAAATGTTGGTGACAAATCTACGTTTGAAATCAGCAAAAGTTTCATTTTTAATAAAAACTGTCACAGTGGTCTCTCACCTCTGTGTGAATAACAGGCTCATAAAATCACCACACAATAATGTAGCAATCTCTTTTAATTTGTAATCATTTCAGAATCTAAAGTATTTCTTAAAATTCCTGTAACACTTTAAATGTTTTAAATTTAACAGGATTTTGCTTTTCAGTGTTCTTAGTGTAACTTTGGGGGAAATGTCATAATTGAAACAGAACTACAAACATGTCTTTGGACAAACTGATATCTGAAAGTAAAAAAAAAAGTTATATCCTGCAAAATCTTCTCATCAGGACGCTAACAGGTAATTTATATGAAGTTTGCAGCAAAAGTCAGTGTTCATCAAAGACTACAAATAAAGTTACATGTTTATGATCATTGATTGTTTCTGGATTTTGTGGCTTTATTTATATTTTGTGCTGCAGAACACGTGACAGTAACACAATAAAAGAATAGATGGTCATTTGGCTCATCGCTCTGTTGTTCCAGCCCTGATTATTTTCAAAGACATCAGAGTGAAACAGATTTTTGAAGTATTAAAGAGTCAGAGGCCGATTACAGCTATTATCCCACTGTGTGATAATCTGCACGACTATTTGTTTCATTTGAATGAAGAAAGAGATTTAAGATAAGATAGAACTTTATTAATCCCTCGGGTGGGTTCCTCTGGGAAATTCGACATTTACGGCTGTGTTTGAGGTTAATAGTCAACACAGAGGTTTAAAATAGCATTTTATTTTATGTTCATTTTGTGTGTGTGTGTGTGTGTGTGTGTGTGTGTGTGTGTGTGTGTGTGTGTGTGTGTGTGTGTGTGTGTGTGTGTCTTCATTTTTTGCCAGTTTGACAGGCAGAGTTTTTACATCACATGCACATCCTGATACAACCCCAAACGGATTTGTGTGTCCTTCTGGGACTGAACCAGAGATCGTTTCTTTGTTAGGGAAATGTGAAAACCAGCTAACTGCAAAGGCTAGTATAGAGGCTTTTCTTTAAATTATACGTTTAGTTATGTGCAGATCTCATATATAGGTATAACAACATCATTTGTTTCTTTTTCCTTTTCTTTGTTCTTTTATTGTTGAAGAAATCAGTTTCCCCCTGTCAATTACAAGATACTCCAACAACAAAGCCTGCTTCATCCTCCTTGGGACCAACATTTACTAAATAAATATCACGTTGTGTTCATGAACACCTACCCCAAAGTAGGAAAGCTACACTGCTATTGCAGGTATAATATTCTTAAACTAACAATAATATTTGCTATGCTGCAAAAGAAAATCACAAATACTGTAAAACAGAAAAATACACTTATAAGCAAAGCTGAGTAATAAGCTGCCAGAGTTACTGCTGCTGCTCAGAGCATTTTCCTCTGTGTTGAACCTGCTTCACATGTCCCATAAATGACTTTAATTGTGATTTAACAGTGTTCACGACATCTTCAGGTTTCGTGTGGGGAGAATTTTGTTTCTTGTTCTTCTTTTTTTAAATAGAATATTAAATTCCACATATGAGTAATTTGTATAATCTACATCAGGTATGTTTTTTCCAATTTATTTTAGTTCTTCGGGGGAAGAAAAATCACACTGATTATATAGAAGTCTCAAGAACCCACAAAACCTTGTGTATCAAACATGATACACTAGCTTTAACGGTTAAAATTTCACCATAAGTGACAAATATGGCTGGATAGTTTGTTTGCTGAAGCTCTTTATCTAAACAGCTTGGGGGGGGGGGGTGTTCCACCAAAACCATGTAAATGTTTAGTCTGATATTTTTAGATGAGCTGAAACACTAAACGGTCTCGGTGGCGTGCATGTCCTCTTCTCCTGACCATTTTCTCTTTGCATGCCTTCCTGTTATGTAAATTTACCAGAAATCTGTTTGCATAAGAAGCGTAATCTGCTGGGCAATGCAACAGGAACCAATAATGATTTATCATCCTTTTTTTTACCCTCTCCTCAGTCGTTGCAGTGGTGGGCCAGCTGAGGGGTTATGCAAGATCACATCCACAGCTGCTGAAAAAATGTCTGTGGAGGGGAGGGCAGGAGGTATATGGGTGAAGAGAGCCTGATTTAGAAAAAACTATAGGAGGGAAAGAAACTTCACATCAGCTGTAGGCTGATGAAAAATATGTTATTTGATTAATAAGTAGACCAAGATGCTATCAATGCCACGTTTGTAATAGCAATGGCAATTTTATTCGTATAGTACATTTCATTACATGAAACTCAATGTGCTCAACACAGGATAACATAAAAACCAGAGCAGGTTTACGATGCCTAAAGGCTGTAAAAACAGCAAAAATTAAATTATGAATCCTACAAGTGTGACTCCCTCAGCTGTGTTACCCTTTCATAAGAAAGTTCTTTGTGGGAGTGTTACAGCCTGACCAGCCTCTGAGAATCACAACATACATAAAGGTTTAGGGGAAAATATTTCTTTTGTGTGTGTGTGTGTGTGTGTGTGTATCATCTGAAAATGCACAACACAGATTATACTGAGTGGATTAAGACAGCAAGTGCCGTGCCAAACAAGCCATATGTGTGATTGCGATGACGTGTCGCTGCGTGAAGACATCATCTGAAATCAAATCAGGTTGAATGAAGGAAAACAACAAAATCCATTTAAGTGAAAAGGGATTTGGGGGGAAAAAAATCGCATTTAATAGTCGCTGAATAAGCTCTACCCCTACACACTGGTAACAAATACCTGAAACATTGTAGCCTATGTACTGGTCTTGATTTTAAATAATGGCTTACTGATGCTGGTAGGTCACTGCTAGACATGTCTGTCCTTCTGTTAGGTTATGCAACAGCATCACTATGTAGCATTTTTAATTCTCAGTAAGGATTATATAGTAGTTTTGGAAAAATCCCGCAATCTCATCACGCTATAGCATCAGAAATTTCTCCATAAAGATTGCATAATGATCTGTCATCCCAAATGCTGGCCACTATGATAAGGAAAGAATAAACAACTTTATTAATATGCACTGAGCTAAGCTTTAAATACTTACATCACTATGTATGATGTAATTATTAAGAGAGCTTAATTATTGTTTTCTGAATCAAATCCTCTCATTTATTTATTAATTTTTTCTCACCTTCACAAAGGAGCACATCGAAGAGGACACGCAATCTACTGTGTAATCTATTTATGAGGCTGGCCTGCAGATGTTTAAGGACATAATGTAGGCCAATATAAAAATACGTGCACCAAAGGTGTTTTCTCGTACTTGCTGTGTGTGTTTCAGGCAATGCTGACAATCAGTCAGCATGAGTTGATGGTTGATTTATAGCAACAGTGGACTTTTATGTAATTTTGCAATGCATTTTTTTCAGAAATAACATTTTCTGGACGCAGATGATTATTTGTGTTATTACAAATCATTAATACATGCTAATATTAAAACATTTTATCTATATTTGTAAGAGCAACTTTACAAAATTGGTCTTACATATAATATGAACTTTTATCTTTAGATTTCTACAGCGTCTGTCTGATTAATAAAGATTTCATTCATTCATTCGTTTGTTTTGTATCCCATATGGTACACGTGCTGTTTACAGGATGACTGCAGAAAGATTAGCATTAAAACAACTGAAATTACTACTGAAACTACTGAACAAGTCCAAGTAGTTTAAGAAGGGAAAACTTACCAAACTCTCACAGTTAAATTGCATAAAATGAATGTTGAGAGTCTATTATCAATGGGATAGGCCCCAGAGCCCCTGCGATCCTTATTTAAAGTAAGTCAAAGGAGATGGATGGATGGAGTTCAGAATAGTTACTACAATTCAAACAGTACTTTGAAGCAATTTTACTTCCAGTCTTGAAGATATAACTTGATTTTATTTAGCCTTGTTTTTGTTTTGTTTTTTATGTGGGACATTACTAAGAGATTTTTATACCACTTGATGCTTTGTGGAATCATTTAGTCCTCTAGAATCAGTAGAGGAGGATGTTAGCCGAAGCTAATGTCCATTACGAACAAGACATCTCACCCCTGTATGAGCCTGTGGAGGCCATGAGTGGCTCCTTCAGCAGTAGACGGTTACAGCCACTGTGTAGGACCTAGTACCAACACAGGTCCTTTGTCCTGGAAGCAATCCGACTGTTCAATATGCACATAAATACCTGAGAAATCACTCACATAGTGGCATTGTAAAGTGCTTTGGGTGCCTTGAAAAGCGCTATATAAATCCAATCCATTATTATTATTATTATCACATTGCACTTTATGTACATATAATTACTGTGACAGGTCTTTTAGTGTATATATTAGCCTATATTTTATTTTTGCTTTATTTTATTTTATTGTCTTTTTACATGTCTTTTGATTGTTTTTAGCGGTTTTAGCATTTTTGCGCCTTATTTTTTTCATTGTTTTCTAATATATCCACAATTATCTTGTTATTTCTGATCATTTTGCGGCCGTAGCAAGTGTAGATTAATAAAGTTCCTTTCTATCTGTCTAATTCTGAGATTCCTAATCTGAAATTTTGAGATACCTGTCCTAAA